CGGTTCGAGTCCGACATAGATAGCGGTAAAAAAAAAAAGAAAAAAAAAGGTAAACTTTGGATGGGTCTCAAAGTAATTTGTTATTGTAATTCTATTTGCTGTAAAACTAGCATGTTAGATGTTTTTCTTGTTGTCTATAAAATAAATGAACAGATAGTGTTTTTTAAAAAGATCAGAATCGTATATAATTATGTGACTTTCAAGTAATACCTGTATCAGAATATCTACTTTTCATACAAAAATATAATAATCATAATTTTTATTGCATAAATAACTTGCATAACTATACCAATGAGTAGAAAATTACACAATGACTACATTTAACAAACTACAATATGAAGTATTTGTTTCATATAAGTGTTAGCCTTTCAGAAATTAATGCAATATTTATATCAGCTCAATATTACTATTAACAAATACACTGACTGACAATTTAAACACTCTCTTGTTTATTTAACAATTATTCGTTGCAGTTTGTAAACACAGGCGTTGTTATGATAAGGGCATTTTGAGAATAATTGTGAACTGTTTCACACGTGTTAAAGTCATGTACACATCGTGATAAACCATGATTAATATATTTTAACTAGCTGTTTCCCGTGGGTTCCTCTGCGTGATTGTTTGTTGTTTCTAACTTTGAATATGGCGAATTTCAATACCTACAATAGTTTTTATTATTTATTTTAGTGTTTTATCTGTGTGTGTGTCTGTCTGTCTGTTTATCTGTCTGTTACCTCTTTACGCTTATACCGCTAAACTGATTTAAATGAAATTAGGTATAGAGATAGTTCGAGTCCCAAAAAAGGAAATAGAAATTCCCCTTTAAGGGGGTGGAAGTTGGTTTGGGAAATTAATAACCGCTGACCCGGTTTAAATGAAATTCGGCATGGAGAGACTTTGATTCTTGAGAAAAGGCCTATAACCAATATATACACAGACGGAGCCGCGGACAAAAGCTGGTATTTAAAATATTTTTCGTGTTTCTAACTTTAAGAATTGTGAACTTCAATACCTGCAATAGTTTTTATCATTTTTTTTTATATTTATTTATCTATTGCCCCGACTGATTCACCAACGCAGAGCCTAAACTGACACATTTCCTTCGCATCGTGTTTATTATCAAATGTGTTATCACTTTTGTCATAGCCTGTTTAAACATGCATTGACGAAGAATTGATTACTATCATAGACATGTTGGATTAGAAGGGTGTCTGATTTATATTCGGGATTCGAACCTGCGATCTCTTACGATCTGGATAAATAAATAATAACCTTACACTTCTCACACGCGGCCGTCTGATCCGAAACCAGGCAGAGCCTCTACTATGGTAACCAGACTGCTAATAAACATACCTTCATCATCACATCACACATCAACAGCCTTTAATAATCCACTGCTGGACATAGGCCTCTCCTTAGAAAGGAGGTTTTGGCCTACTATATACGAGTATTTCTAAATACATACATAATATAGATAAATTACACCCAACACAGAACAAATAGTCGTGCTCTTCACACAATTTTACCTGGATAGGAAACGAACCCACGAGACAAAGGTCTCTAACCCAGCAGCAGTCAGAACAAAAAATCACTAGGATCATCAGGCCCTGTCAACTCTTTGAAGATTATCATGACGATAGTTGCGTATACGTAAAAGATTTGGCAGATCTGATACTTCAGCGAATAAAACGCTAGAAATATAATAATCTAAAATTAGTATTCATAATGCTAGATATTCGTGGCGTGTAGGTAGTTCGTTATTTTTAAAGCTAAACTGGCGACTTCCCGAAACCACGTCATATCAGACATACAATTATTAAAAATTGTTTCACGTAAATTTTGTTCTCGGCTTTTTCATTTGTTCCACTTTATTTTCAATGTTGCCACCCAGAGCCGATTAAATGGAGCCGGACGAAAACTCTTCTGTTTATGATGTATATACTGAAATAAAAATGGATAGATGGATTAGTGGTTTAAGTGGTCACTTCGGCCGCTTCCTACTGCGCTAAGTGTTGTGAATTGATCCCCACATGGGACAACACTTTGTGTGATCCACAAATTGTTGTTCTGCGTTTGGGTGTTCTTGTTCTATGTGTCCGTTTCATATATATTTGTAAAAGGCTGAGTGGTCGATTCGCATAAATTTAATCGCATACTGTGTGCGAAACCTATTTAAAATTTATATATTTCTTTAGTTGTCCATTCGCATAGACTGCATTGTGACAGTGTGCGAATCGACACCTCTCTCTCTTCACATCGACTTTGTATGTATGTTTAGAAAATCGATATTCATAAATTATTTATCACCGGTCCCCATGCAAGGTGGTTGTGGACTGATCGATAATAAGAAAAGGGTTATTAAAGCTTGGTGTGATTTATTTTTGGGTGATATATTCGATTCAATTCGAACCACTAGGTCCTGAGTTGAACGCGTTCAACCATACAAACAAACTTTGTAGCTACCTACTTTGTAACATTACCTATACTATGTACCTTTTCTTCTGAAATCCCTTCGGATACCACCCGCCGGCGGCTATGTCGGACTCGAGCCGACTAAAAACCATACGTCGTCTCGGGTACCAGTAGCCAGGGAACCAGGTGTACCCTATTAAAGAAATCTCTGGTGCCCCGACGTACCTTGGGAAACCAGGGATTTCCTTTACAATTGCATGGATGGCTTAGCGGTTTGAGCGGTCGCCACGCCGCTTCCTACTACGCCGAGTGTTGTGGGTTCAAACCCCACATGGGACGACATTCTGTGTGATCCACAAATTGTTGTTCTGAGTCTGGGTGTACTTTGTGTCCGTCTCATGTATGTTTGTAAAAAGTCCTAAAAAAGGAAAATGAAATAAAAAAAAGAGATATATTACATCAGAGCTCATCACACAATTATTTTTTGTGGTTGTGAATGGAACCCACGACCTCCGCTTTGCAGTCAGAGTTACTAACTACTAGACTAACAGACCTATCAAATAACTCGTAAAGGTCACGATCCTCAACAATGAGGAACACGACACATGGAGTGGGGGGACGAGCACCTTTTTAAACAAAACTTCCAATTCTAGTGAGGTAGTATATTGATTGACAGAATCTACAATGATGCAATTTACCAAAAGCTGTTAGTATATAATCAAAGAACGTGACACGCCAACATAATTATGTACAATCGTGCTGAGAAAACGTTTATGTTTAAACATGCCATGAGTTCCGTTTATAGAATCACTAGCTTATGTCCGCGGCTTCGCCCGCGTGTATGTTGGTTATCGCGGTAAAAACTAGCCTATGTCCTTCCTCAAGAATCAAGGTATGTCTATACCAAATTTTATATAAATCGGTTTAGAGATTATTGATGCCCCATACAAATTTCCAAAACCCTTTTCACCCCCGTACTTAAAAAATCTGGGGAAATTCTTTCACTAATATGTAGCTGCATTATTACGAGTATACATTATTATTATGACGACCGAATGGCGTAGTGGTTTGTGTAACGGACTGCTATTCCAAAGGTCGCGGGTTCGATCCCGCTCAAGTCAAACATTTGTGTGCATGAACATTTAATGTTTGATTTGGTCTGAGTGTTTCTATGTATAATAAGTATGTATTTACAAAAAAAAGTATATGTGTATTTATATCTGTTGTCTAGTACCCATAGTACAAGCTCTGCTTAGTTTGGGACTTTTGTTTTTTTTTTTTTTCCGTGCGGAAATTCCCTTTGGATACCACCTATCGGTGGCATGCTTAGTTTGGGACTAGATGGCGTTGTGTGAATGTGGTAATTTTTTAATTTTTTTTTATTAAAAAAGCCGACAGTTAGTCGGTTATAGTTTTAACAAATTATATTATTCAATTAAGTTAATTAGTTAGAGACAAGTTTTTAATTTTTTAAACAATTCAGTCGAATCTGTGATCAAAATATTTTTATATAAGTACAGCATGAATAGTATTGAAATTATATTCGAATTATTCTATGGAAATAAATGGTTTTAAAATCATAGAATGTTATGGTAATGACCATCAGTACATAGACATAGTTATGTTTCAAAATATCATTGTAGTATAATGCACACATGCATGATTGTAAAATAATCATTATTTTGTAATCGTCTGATATCATTACTAAAAGGAAATCGTTACGCATATTTACTGAACCTTTATTTTTGATATAATTTAAAAAACATACAATTTAATGCATAGGTACACGCACAAGTGTGCTTGTGTACTTGAGTGTGTGTATGTGTACGTGCATTCAGGAGTGCGTGTGTGCTTGAATGCATGGTTATGCTGTGATTCCTGCACAGTTGTCATGCTGTTTATCATTAAAACACAAGATAAAATAAATGTGATAAAGAAATGATTGTTCTGAGTATTCGATCAATCGATCGAGAACAATAGGTATTCGATCATTATTCTAGATCTAATTATTACAAATTTCGTTCTGTTTCTGTTGCAATAAACAAAAAAAAAATATATACTCTTGACATGTAATAATTTTAGATAGATATATATATATAAATATATATATATATATATATACGCGGTATTTATTAATTTGTTTTCGGTAAAATGTTCTGTTTACTCATTGTGATATCATTTTTAACCAAAAAAATGAAAAAAATATTAAAAAAATGAATTTTCCGGCAGAAAATTCCAATGATTTTCGACCCAAAATTATGGTCTGTATACACTATTTCAGTATTCGTTTCGATGTCCCTTACACCCTGTATATATCACATAAAAAAAAACATACTAGATGACTCAGAATGTTAGCAAAACAATTTTGAATTTACTTGCGAGACTATACGTAGTACAATAATCTTTTAATAAATTACTTGAGTTGATTTGATTTGATTTGATTTGACTTGACTTGATATATTTTCGAGTGCAAGGCAATTATTAGATTCGCATCTGTGGTCATTAAAGTATGAAATCTTTGTTATCGTAACATATCCTGCCATGTAACTTTTTAACATCAAGATTATTAATTTTTTTTTGGGTTCCAGGTCGTGATTTCCCAGACAACAGTGATGATGACCCCGACTTCATCATTTCTGCAATCCCGGAGGATACACCACATATCCCTTACAAACCCACTAAGAGAACGGATGACGAGATTCTCCGGAGATCAAGAGAGTACTACGAGTTGATGGCTGAGAGAAGAACCGTCAGGTCTTTCAGCCAGGAGCCAATACCGCAGGAGGTGTTAGATAATCTTATCAAGACTGCCGGTAAGGAAAAATACATATAAATACATAGCATACATACAAAACATTAAATCTAATTAAATTAAATTTACAATCTAACACCAAGGAGGATATTTTAATTGTATATTATTACTCCTACATACATACATAAAATCATATACATATAAACACACATCCATTTATATACACAGAAACATACACACATACATACAAATTCGCACACACACACACTTTTATCTACCAGTCAACGTTTGAATTATTCAGTGATGCACATGGCTGGTCAAAGTTATACTTAATTATATTATAACGAATATACACATACATTTTTACATAGACTTAACTAAATAAATACCTATACTTTAATTAACTATAACGTAAATGGAAAGCTACTGAGTATTGCTACTACTGAGTCTACTTTCTGAGTAATATCCACAGGTTTAATTATGTCTTAGCTAATATCATATGGTGTCGAGTCCGACTTAAACCTGATAAACTTTAAGTATATTTTGCAATACGTGTAATGAACAAAAAGATTAAATATTACGAATCACAGAATAATCTATTCACCATCCTCCTAGTCTTTTCCCAAACTACATCGGGGTTGGGTTTCATTCTATGAAATCTGCCATCACACCTCCACAACACGAGCGAAGTTCTGTAAATAAACCGTGGTCGTACTCTTTACCACAGACCTTCGCATGACAATCGTGACAAATGGCTCAAAGTGCTTGCCGAGGTACGGACCGGTCTCAACGTGTTAAGAAAGGCCACCCATCCAAGACTGACCTGGCTAAGATTGCTTTAATCTGCAACGTCCTAATCCACTCGGTTGCCAAGAGCCCTTCTATAGAATAATCTATATTATTATTGTTGTTTTGCAGGGTATTTGTTAATACCTGCTTTTCTTTGTCACCGTGATAACCTGACAGTTTACTGCCTGTGAAAATCACTTGGTGTGAGCAGTATACCAGTAGTAGTTCCTTGAAGTGGCATTACTCTGAGTTTACTGTCATTTCTGACACGTCGAGTGATATTTTTATAAACATGTAGTTGTTAATTATTATTATTATTTAAAAGGACAACTCCTACCCTGTGTCGGGGGGGACTTTACAAACACACATGAAACGCAACAAAGAACACCCAGATTCAGAACAACAATTTTTGGATTTCACAAAGTGTAGTCCCATGTGGGGATCGGATCCACGACACTCAGTGTAGTAGTAAGCGGTGTTGCGACCGCTTGAACCACCACGCCACCCGTGCAGTCAAATTGTATCCTACCAAAAACATTTGCATTTAAAATGCTACCAAGACGAGATCATATGGCTCGCATTGTCAAAAAGTATCAGATCTCATGTTCTCATGTTCAGATCTCGTGGTCAAGCTTCTAACTCTACACACCTTATCTACACAAACTCTAGACCTTAGTTAAAATATGTGGCTGGGCCGTTTCATTACTAAAAAAACTTTTGAATTACAGAAAAGTAATGAACAGTGAATAAATTTTTCATCCATGTGAGGATAGCAACACCGTCACGACGATAGCCACATCTTTTGTGTGTAAAAATATTATTTGTATGAGATCAGAATAAATTTATCTGTATTTCTTGGCAATACGTACAGCTACTAACATCCACATTTAGTGGAATATTGTTAGTCTCAACTATTTGTTAAAAAAACAGACGTAGGTATGTTGGAAGAAAAAGGTAAGTCAGAAGGGAGGACAATAAAAATGATACATTTGTACTTAATATGAGACTGGAAAGATATTTTCGTTTGGTAATTTAAATGATTTGAGATCAGATTTGAGTTATATGTTATTTTTGTATTATATATTCAATATATATAAATATAATTAATTTATATATGTCCCTGTGGTGACGGATTAAGAATACGGAGTGTCATCACCCCTATTCCTCCTGTGGGTTTCGTAAGAGACGACTAAGGGAGCAAACTAGGACATCACTGCAAAGAGAAGGAAACTTGAAACAAACCCTATACCAACCTGTCTGGTCAGCGTGTTATAGTAGACCAAAACCTCCTTTCTGAGGAGAGGCCTATGTCCAGCAGTGGACTGTTAAATGCTGTTGATGATGATGATATATGTGTGGATAGATAGAGTATTTACTAAAGAATATTTTAAGCTATAAATCTTAGCTAAACACTCAGTAGCAGAGCAGGGACAGGAAATGCAGGTTCATATGCGGAGAAAGGCCGGTCGTTTAGGTAGGTAGATTGCAAATCAATATTATTCATTAATATAAAACATAGTATTAAAACGTGATGGAATAAAACCAAAATTCAGGGTTAAATACTCGGTATGTTGAAATACAATATACAAAAGTATTTATCTGCAAAACCGTATCAGGTAAAAGATAAGGTTGCTTACAATTTTGGTAATCTTAAGATTTCAATACAATCGCGTTGATAATAACTAACCACCTGCTTAGTGAAAATTTAGGAGAAGGTGGACTTACCCTATTCGTTGTTAACGAAATAATATGAACACGGGCCTATTGGTCTAGTGTCCTAACTGCTCAGCCAGATGTCGTGGGTTAGATTCCCACCAAAGGCAAATTATTGTGTGATGAGCACGATCATTTCTTCTATGTCTGGGTGTAATTTGTTTGTAATTTTTATGTATTTAGAAATATATAAGTATGTTTATCAGTAGTGTGGTTACCATAGTATAGGATCTGCCTAAGTTGGGATCAGACAGCGGTATATACAAATATTATTAATATTATTGATCGAGGGTGAAAATGACATGTTTAATTTGTTTTTTTATGTAAACAGTTGATCTATCATTATCATTAAATATAAATCTCACATACGTAACAAAAGACCGTACTTATCGCACTATGTTTGTCCTGGGAGAAAATCGAACCCACGACCTCCGGCTTAGCAGTAGGGTCACTAACCACTAAACCAACAGGCCCGTCGTATCATTGCTCTTTGATTGTAATACTCATGGCACTACTTGCAGTAAATTACCATTTTAATTCTGCATTTATCCTTAACCAGGTGACGTGGCTATGTTTTATAACTCAAACATAAATAAAATTCTACTACATTCACATAACGCAATCTGGTCCCAAACTAAGCAGAGCTTGTACTATGGGTACTAGACAACTGATATAAAAACATAAATGCTTTTTTTTTGTAAATACATACATATTATAAAAAGAAACATCCAGACCAAATCAAACATTAAATGTTCATGCACACAAATGTTTGACTTGAACGGGAATCGAACCGACCTTCGGCGCGTTCAAAATCTCCTTTCTAAGGAGAGGCCTATGTTCAGCAGTGGACTGTTAGTGGAAAGGGTGTTGATGTGATATAAGCTACTCGCAGTGAGACCTATTCCTATCGCGATACAGGATTAGCAGTCAATTCTTAGTTCGATGTGTCTTCGTTAGATGGCACTATAGTACGTTTTTGTGTCATTATATGTGGAAGTCTCCACGACATCTACAGGCCAGCCTTGTCATAAGTGTACAATTTTTTAAATTTTCCTTACAAACTTACTAAGTTTACATAACGTAACGTCTTGACTGGATTCAATTACTTATATTTGTAAACAGGCCTTGGTATTAAAATGTAGTCTTACCTTCGTCCGATGATCGAATTTAAAAAAAAAGCAGTAATGCCTGTATTTATTAACACACTGCATAATTAACAAGTCGATTTCAATGCTGTATGCCTTTCCAAGTTACTGCATGAGCATCGTTGTGTTAGCCTTTAATTAAAAATAACTATAATTAAATTTATATTATTCTTTGAAAATTCCAAAAAGCATATTAATATTTTGTTGGTATTGTAGTTAGTGACCCGGACTGACCGAAAGAGAGGTTGCGAGTTCGATTCCTAACCACCACAAACAATTGTGTGATGACAGCGATGATTTATTTTGTCTAGAATCATACATTCATCCTCACATTACACACATCAACAGCCGTTAATAGTCCACTGCTGGACATAGGCCTCTCCTTAGAAAGGAGGTTATGGCATTTACCTATAGCATGTATTTTTTATTTATTTAAATAAGAAAAACAGTATAAAATTAAAACACGTATTGGTTTATCTAGGGTGCGAGTGTGCGTTCCTTATTTCCTTTTCTTTGTTTTAAATATCAACATTCACGACAGTAACAAGAACTTTTATAAAAAAAAAATCGCTGGTACTATTCGCACTACAATAAATAATAAGTGCAGGGTAGGTAGGCGCACAACTCTTTCAAGCATTTGCATGTATGCACCAATATATTTAAAAATGTATTAGGACAACCTTTTGTTTAACACGTGTGTATGTCGGTTAAAGAATCGCGGTAAAAACTACCCTATGCTACTCACTAATAATGTAGCTTTCCATTGGTGAAATAATTTTCAAAATCGGTTTAGAGATTTAGGTGTGAAAGCGTAAATCTCTAAACCGATTTTGAAAATTTTTAGGTGTGAAAGCGTAGGGTATACCTGGTTCCCCGGCTATTAGTACCCGAGACGGCGTGCGGTTTTAATCGGTTCGAGTCCGAAATGCCACCGATAGGTGGTATCCGAGGGGATTGTGAAAGCGTAACAAACAAAGAAGCTCACATTAAAATATAGGTATGGATTGATTACAAATAAATTCTTAATAAAAAAAGATGTATTTAAATATTAAAAAAATAGTGCACCACAGACATCAGGTTGGAACTTTGCCTCAGTATTCGGGCTATGTCGAGGAGAACTGCTTTTTGCATCAGACCCTTGACCCAGCCGACTGACGTGAGCCTCGTTCGTGTTGGTCGAGGCTCTTGGCTATCTCATTAAAGTATTATTTTTCGGGGCGATTTCAGGTATTTTTATTAAAACAAAGTAGCCTAAATTCTAATAATACCATTTGGTAAGAAAAGATCCAATGATGTCCAAGGGAGTAAAGTATTAACAAAATGAATACCTCAAAATCATTTCCCATCAAATAAGAATTGCGTTCCATCGGTTTGAATAAAGATGTCAAGTTGGTTTGTGTACGCTTAAAAAACT